CCGATGCTTCATGAGACGCAGAATTTAAATCCAAAGGAGCTGATTCCAGCCCAGAAAATACGAGGCAGAAACAACGGGGAGCCAGGGTGAGGGGGATAAACTTCACACACGTGAAATAATTCCGAATTTTCTCCATCTTGCCTTATTTCTCTGCTTTTTTAAGAATATCACAGACCATTTTTTTGCTCGCCTTCGCATACACATGTAGCTGGATCTCCCAAACCCCTTGGCCGAGCCCTGGACCTCTCAAAAAGCTCCCGTGGGGTTGGAATTTGGCCCCTTGCTGCTCCGTGGGGTGGTTTTTGGGAGCCGTCTCCCAGCTCCGTGCGGAGCTGCCGGCTCGGGGGCGTTTGTGTTCTGCCAGCTCAGGAAAATAAACCACGACCGGGATGGGGTTCGGTGTCTTTACGCAGAATTTGTTCTTCGAAGCGTGTTTTCTTCCTGGGGGGCAATAAATGGAGAAAATCACCCCAAACACCCACCTATGGGGGTTTTTTTTTTCATGACTTTGTATTTAAAAGTTCTTGGTTGGTTTTGACACCTGAATATTTTGGCAATATTGGAGATTTATCATCTCCAATAATCTATTCTCTCCGATAATCATCTCCAAGGGGTGTATGGTTACGGACACAGCCCAGACACGACGAGCGATCGGTTTGCTGAAGTCTCAGGTGGGAAAATCCGTATTTTGAACACCAGCTGCCCTGGGAACGCCCTGACCTGGGAGGATTTTAGCTGGTGGACAGCAAGAAATAAAATTGGGGCAAAAAAAAAATCTTCATTTTCCAGGAAAAGAGCTCCAAGGCTGGAGCAGAGCGGGCATCAAATCTTTTTTTCTTTCTCAAACCATGAGGATTTCCTGCAGGAAACGGAGATGTTCAGCCCGAAGCTGGCGGATTATATCGATCCGATTGGGTTCGTACTCACCCATCGCTCCCCGATAACCCCTGGGAGCGGATCATCCCACTCCAGAGCATGAATAAACACCGATTTTTTTTCTTTTTTTTGTACTTTTTTGGGCACGATGATTTTTCTACTCCATTTCCGAAGCCGGTTTTCTGTCTTACGAGCCGAATCACTCCGGTTTTGGAGCGCACACACTCCTGGTTCGCATAGAGAGCAGAGCAGCGGCGATACGTCCGGTTAGCAGAACGAAAACGAGGTTTAGGATTAAATTTGGTTGATAATCTGCTCGGATGCCTGACCCGGCTTCTCCCAGCACGTGCTGTGGTCCGACAAGACCGTCCCGGCGTCGTTGTGCCGCTTGGGCATCCTGAGCCTCTAAAAATGGAATTTCAGTGTTTCCATTTTCTGGGAATTAGGATCAAATTGTTGTGGATGGATCCAGCACCGAAAATATCGACATAATCCGCGTCCGGCTGTCTGTGGGATGGGGATCATTGGCTTTAAGATCCATCATTAAAGAATTAAAATTCATTATTTTAACTCCAAATTAATTCAAAATTAAATAAAATCCATTTTCCGCTCTGGTCTCTCCGTCAGGGATGGGCAGATCACCTCCAAGCGACCCATGTCCCAAAAAAAAATCCCGTTATTACTCGATGACGCTCGTTTCTTGGCGGCTTTTGCAACGATGAAATTTTTTAATCAGTGATTTCGGCTGAGGCAGGAGAGCGGGAGGATTCGGGGTTGCTCTCAGCCGCTCTCAGAGTCGGATCTCGGCGCGTTTTTGGTGGTGGGTGGTGGAGTCAGCTGTGGGTTTTTCCCCCGTTTATTGGATCCGTCCCTCATCCGGCGCATCCTCGACGCTCATTCTTCCCTGGCAGCTCTTCTCACGTGGATCCTTCTCTGATTTCGGTCGCCAGCCTGATCTAATCCACCTGCCAGAATAAAAACCAGAATTTCCTCCCATGTCCCACCCTCTTCACGTCGTCCGGAGATGATTTTTTTCCCCTCCCAGGATATTTTTCAGAGGCTGGTGCTGCGCTAACCCCTCCTGCCTTCCCAATTATCAAT